CGGCGACATTCAACGGTCCTTACATACACCCAGATCTAAGCTACTCTACTAAGCCACTATGATGAAGTCACCTTGACAGTGGGGGATGATCGGCTAAGCGGCTCTGTAATGGAGGCATACATACGAATGCAAAAGGTTAAGGTAGAAGCCGAGGGGTGCACAAGTACAAAAAGCTGCCCTCCCCCCCAGGTTTGGAGTCGGGATTTGGAGTTACTAGATGACACCACTCTATCAAAATCTCTGACCTCACATCTTGACAATCTATCATTTTGATGATCCTTGATTCTTGACGTCTCACAAACTATAATAACAAGAATAAGAAGTCCTTTGTATACATATCCATTTGAGAAACCATCACAGACAGATCTTATCCAAGACATACGATAATCTAGTCCAGTCAACACATATTAATACCATTTGATCGTGTACCTTACTTATTCGCTATAACGACACGTCTACTATTGTGATGGCAACAAACGACAATAACGACGACAATACCGGCTTCTCATTTGGTGCACAACCCTTTGCCTGGGTTCTCATTCCTCTCTTTGTCATCTTAGTTCTCGGTCTAACCGCCACCATCATCCAAGTGAGACGACGTCGCCGCCGTCGTGGAAACCAATGGCCCGGCCAGAACACCGGAGCTCCTGCATATACTGGGCTTCGCGGTGGAAGAAGAACGGGAAATCGCCGATCATCATGGAACGGTACCAGGTCTGAAGAAGGGCTCAATGAACTGGGACAGGCGCCACCGCCGTACGATGGTAAAAAGGAGACGCAGGATCCCCGGGAACTGCGGGACCTCGAAGCTGGGAACAGGCCGCCCGAGTATCCTGCTGAGCCTGCGCCGGCTGTGGTGACGGATGGTCGAAGAAGTTGATCGTTGAACTTTGGCTATTGGATGATGGTTTCCCTCCATATGTTCGTTCCTGGGCCGTTTTATACCCACCTTTTTGCCTGGAGTTGGCGTTTGAGAGGACGGGAGCGTGTGTCTTCGAGGAAATAAATGAATCAAAACGAGATTGCGTATCGATTGATATTACCATATAAATGAACAGTTCTTTGTTTTCGTCTCATGAGATAAAGTCGAGTTCAGTTTGTTGATATCCGATCAAGCTTGACCGATTAGCGAGACCACCCTATGCATCGATTGTCGTACAAATGACAGATTTCCCGAAGACTCAAGTGAATGTGGAAAACCTGAGCTGAACAATGAACCAACCTTCTCTCTCTCTCTCTCTCTCTCTCTCTCTCTCTCTCCCTCTCTTCACATAGACAAGCTTCATCGTCTTGGCCTCCACAACAATTCGGACCTTAAGCCTGCTTGAATCTTGATACACGAATCGCGAACCAAATAAATTCAAAGAAGCCGAGTGGAAGGACTAACAATTCAGGGTTCCAGATTATATGACAAAGTCATCCTCTTACAAGCCACCGGAAGCAGGGTGCTATATGGGTCGCCTGCGTGTAACACGAGTGGCCTCAGAAGACCCGGTTGGCTGCATGCATCGAGGACTGTGTCACAAGTGATGCTGTGATCACAGTCCACAGGAGTCAATAGAGCCGATAGGACGAAGAGGTCTTTCCTTGTGGTCTTGCCATGCTGGAAGCAGGATGTCGTGGTGACCAACTAACCTCAACACATGAGGTCGCAGCAATGGCTACAGTAGGTAGTCGGGGACTACAATTATAGACTGCCAGTGCTCTGGGCCAATACTAGTTGTACCGAGCGACGAAAGGGCTACGTTCTCTCTCTGGGCTTTGTTAACAGTTTGCTTTGGCTCGCTGCTAAATCAAGGAGTAACTAGGTAGTGTTTCTTGAAAACATTTGAGGACTCTGTGAACTTTGGCGGAAAAGCCTGAAACAGTCTCGTAACTGAGAACATTTGTTGCAAGCCAAACGATACGGAAACATTCAAAGTTGTCCCGGATCCAAACTTCAGGGGTATCCCATGCCTTTTCGATGTGTCTCGCATGAGTGAAAGGGTCTTTGCTCGGGGGGTTCCACAGAGAATTCGCGAGATCTTATGATTCACGTCATGCTTGGTAAAGCCTAGTTCGCCTCATCTTGACAAATGTATGTTTGCAGTGAAATATGACAGACAGATCAGGATAAGCCGATACCACAATGGGAGGTAAAGAGGTGGTTGGAGAGGATATAAGGGGCGCCAATTAAGAAAATGGAGCCGTGGTTTCTTAGTGTGATAATGGAGGAGGAGGAGGCTGGAGATGCCAATGGGCTGAAGATGAGCGGCAAAGCGAATGTTCTGAGTTGGGTTATGCCCCGAGAAGATGGAAAGCCAGATACGAGTAAGGTTGAGCCGTGGCAAAGATGATTTTCAGGAACATGTCAAATCTATCCGTATTAGGTGATGGTGTTGAGGGCCGGACGCTAGATTCGACTAAGAAGCTTCTAAAGCACTATTATGTTTAGAACCGGTGGTATATCTGAAACCTACGGATAATGGTTTTGTCTCTGTCTTTGTTCAGAGAACAAGGCACTGTAATTAGGCTATTCCTTAGGAATGAGAGTGTTTCATAATACCTACCTAGTAGTTTGAAGACAAGTCCGACCCTCGTAGTGAGTGGTTCAGCCCTACAATCCACTCACAAGAGCGAAATGTGCGCCCATGGATCTGAGTGGAGGAGGTCTGACTGGGACTCGGGTGATCTTTATGATAAGATTGCTCAACTAAAATCGCGTATCTTGAACTCTTAACGAAGCGACTTGGGCAATTTGTGAGGTTATGAGAAGCGTTGGCGGAGTCAACAAATGCAGCCTCATCACAGGCCTCGCCCTCATGGTCTGGCTTATTTTAGTCAAATAAATGAGGCTCACCCGAATGATTCTTTTCCGTCTCTAGGGACACAGCCGCCCAGCCGCACCTTTCCCATCCTGGCCCGAAGCTGGGGCCGTGGCGCTGAACGAGGGACGGCTGAAGTCTGAAGATTAATTAATAGGCGGACAGGGGTTTGAGTGATTGACGAGGGTGATCAAGTGAAAAGAGAGGCTGGGGAAGAGGATTGTTTGGGAGCGCGACGATTGCCGGGACCTGATTCGAAGGGAAAACAGAAGATGAATCGTCTTACGACAGGGGGTTTGTCGTAACAGAGGACGAAGCCCAAAGTTTGCCTGTCGTGGTTTGATACTGGAGCAGAGCATGTATGTACTAGTATCTACATACCTAGAGAGGCAAGGCAAGGAGGCTGGTTCTGCGTGGCAACTGGCAACGCAACAACTTGGAGACCGCTAGTTGGATTATCCTGTTTTGATAGAGACGGAGGATGCTTATTCGATACTAAAGAGGAGTGGATGGGATGAGGATGGTCATCACATCACACACAGCAAATCACGTATCACACACATGGAGCGTTACGATGAACTCGTCGGGCCTCGCTACTGTACATCCAATGTCTGTCTGCTCTGCATGTTTCCTGCACGTTTTGGTGCATATCTCGTTCCCCTCGTGTCCTTGGAAGATCGTCCATTGGCAGAGGAACCACGGGCATAGCGTGTTGAGCTAGGTGGCATCCCGGCGGGCCGGCGCTATTGGACAGCCCGCCTCGGCAGAGGTGCTACCTAGAGACAACTCATCACCCCAAGGCACTAGCCTGAAAATGAAAATCTCAAGGGCCCAGCCGCTGAAGTAGGTGGATCCAATCAATACCTAGGAAGAGTGTGATGACCAGAGCTCGAGGACAAGACGAGACAGTCCAATCCGATATATGTTGTCAAACGAAGTAGATTTGGTGTTGTTTAGAGCAATACACAGAAGAGACTGCGTTGGATCTTTGGTTAGAGAGATCCATACTCACAATCGACAATCCAATACCTAAAACATCATAAGCTTCTTGGTTCCACTTCCATATGCTGACTCTATTAAGTCTGTGCCTACCTAAACTTTTCGCATCAAGATCTTCTTCAATACACGACGAAGCCATACATCATCGATAATTTTAGACCTCGCTCATTGAAGCTTTATTAAATTTTAGCGCGTGCAGTGAGTTCATTACCGATAACTCCATATCCCATCAATATTGCGGGAAGGGGGGAAAAACGGCCTGCCCGTTCTGCATCAACTCAATTCGTTTTCCCCAACCTCCAGATCTTTCGCCCAACCTCCTCGATTCCCCTTGACACAACTGCACCTAAATTGAATGCCTGGCTGCTTTCCCCCCCCAATCAGTTTAGATCATATCTTATACCCCTTCTTGATTTTCTGTTTCGGCTCTCTTCCGCTCCGTCTGACACTGACATCTGGCGGTTTTCAGTTCTCTGTTCCTTGTTAATTGCTAGGTCTGGTTGCTGCGGGCAACTTTGCTGGCCCATTCTTTTTTCTTAGCCCCCCCGAGGCCCCAGGCATCCCCCCGCCGAGCTGCCTGACCTTACCTTACGGGATCCACATCCCATGAGCCTTCACACCATCCTTTACAATCGACCACGCCGCACGTCGCATCCTTAACCCTTCCCCCAAATCTTTCTCCTTCTCGAATTCCCCACGGAACCTTGAGGCTTCTTAGGCCAGGTCAAATTCGAGTCGAGAGACGAGTCGAGCTGTGTCGGTTGTCGACTCCAGTAAGTACTAAGGTATCGCTATCGACTGTCCTGTCTCTGGGTAGTTGGTATACGTTCAAAGTTATTTTCTTTCCTCTAATCGGGTCGTTTGTTTGTAAGTCTCTCATCCTTTCCTTTCCCTAGACCGTTGCTTTACCCTTCTCCGCTTCACGAGTCGAGCGAGTCGCTTTCAACGCAGGTGGCGATTCATTACCCCATATAACCGGCCTACACCGTTATTTCTCCTCTGTTGGGGACTCGGGTGTACTGACATGTCCTGCTAGACAATCTTCGTTACTCCTTGATTCCGCATGTCTTGATATCAAACCATTAATCAACCAACCCCTCCTCTCCCACCGGTGTTTCTCTGCATCCGTTCCGGATCGCAGTCCTGGGAAGAAAGGGCCCCGAAACACCTCCACTTAAGAGCCTCACCAGATTTACGATGGGTGTATCTTCCAGAAAATCTCTTCCACTTCCCGCCCCTACCGAAACCGAGACTAATACCACCCCCACCGATCTCACAACAACGGTGGATGGGGTGAATCCCGGTGACGAGAAGTCCTCCTACTCCATTCCTGAAGACGGAACACCCGTCACCATTGCTACCCGTGGACACAAGGCTAGCAAATCTCAGACCTCGTTGCTCATCGAGTACTTCGAAGGCGGCAAGTCGACTGTTGGTTCCACAGGCGAGCGACGTCCTAGTGTCCGTGTCCGCCTTACACCATCCAAGAGAGGCCGTTCCGATCACCATCTTCAAGTTACAGAAACAAAAGGCGCTCGCAACACCTCTGTGACTCGACGGATACCGTTGGGAGATTCTGAGTACTTCGACGGGGACGACGGCAACAGCATGAGCTCCTACGCTTCTGCTACCGAAGAGTCCAACGTCTCGAGAAATCCAATTGACATTGAGATTGATCGTAGCCACACTGGACGACGACGACGACCTGCCAGCCCATTGATCCCTTCGGAGACCTACAACGTCAACGCTTCAGACATATCCGCTATTCCATCTGACAGCTTTCTCGACGGCGACGCCAAAGGCGACAGTCCATCAGCAACCCGAGAGATGGTTGCAGCAGCTGGCGCCGGTGCACTTGCAGGTGCTGCAGTAGATGAATTGAAGAACCGGAAGAGTCGAAACAGAGACAGGTCAAAGGTGTCAGAATCAAAGTCGTCGAGGGAAAAGTCGACAGTAGAGAGAAAGCGTCGGCCAAAGAGCAGGACTAGCAGCGTTTCTGAGAGGACGGAGGAGCCTATTAAAGCCCATCGCCGTCGCTCTAGCAGAAGCCAACAGGAATCCAATGTGTCAGGACTTGACTCGAATGTCTCAGCTTCTCATTTGGCTCCCAGCCATCGCACGCACGCAACACATTCCTCACGCTCAGATGTCTCTAAATCATCAATCAACAATCCCAAGCTCCTCGAAACAGTCGAAGACGCCATCCGCCGCTTGATTCTTCCCGAACTCAATGCTCTTAAGCGAGAGACCAGCAAGAGGGAGAGCCGACGCGATTCCTTTACTTCGTCTGCCACATCGGTATCCAAGGATGAGTTAACCCCCGACCGCCGGCGGTCGTCAGGTCAACGGAATGAGCCAAAGGATAGACGCAATAGAGAGGCTCGTCATGTCCTCGAAGCTAACTCTGATGTGAGCCATGATTCTATTGAGGATGACTACCAATACGAGAATGAGAATGTTACACCCAAGCGAAGTGGTGGTGACATGCTCAAGGCAGCAGCAGCAGCAGGTATGGGCTCATCACTCCTCTCAGACAGCACACAAGGCGACCGAAAGCCGAGAGAAAGACGGCGCCGGAGAGCCGAGTCTGCTCATAGCCGTGGCCTGAGCCGTGACCATCATGCTGATCAGCTCGACGACGATTCCGTGGTTCCTCAGCCACCCATGCCTCTTATGAGCGAGATTAACCCATCGGAAATGACCAGGACTTCTATCCGATCTGCCGATACCGACAGACCTCATTCGGCTAGTGAGGAGATCACGCCTGTTAAGAACATTCCGGGTGGATATGTCTCTGGACCCTCGACACCTACACCTTCAGCAACTCCCTCAAATCTCGAGACAACATTATCCACTCAGCACGCCAACGTATCTCATGGTGATTTGACTGCTCTGCCGCGCGGTCAGAAGGACTACGTGGAAGAGTATGAACCAGACGAGTATGGCCAGAAGCATCCTCTCGAACGACAGGGCCAATATGAAGAGGATGACATCTCTGACAACGATTATCCTGAGGGTGGATATGATAACTCCTATTTCGCTACCCAGGATGTCCCTCCTCCATTAAAGTATGTTCCCTATCAGGCTGGTGCTCGAGGCCTCAGCCCTATTCCCAGTGTTTCTGGCTACACTGAGGGTGGCAGCGAGTATCACCCTCGCAACTCAAGGAGTATGCATTCTACAAGTGATGCTTACTACGAGCGATCTGGGGATCGTCGCAATAGCCAGTCTACGCCTTCTCTGAACTCCCTCCAAGAACGAGAAATGGACCAAATGTCACCTCGAAGTTCTGGTGTAGGTTACCGAAACACCACCTACACAGATGACAGCGAGCTGGACAAGGTCGCGTCTGGACAAGCTGTCCGTGGTGTTGGTGCCAACCCGAACCTGGTTCACCCTCCTATGGGGCCCGAATCAGCTGTTGCTTCACTCGTTGAAGGCTCGATGCTCGACCAGTCCATGTTGAGCGGCTCCTACAGCGACTACCCTGGTCCTCGCGACTCGACTCTGTCTTATGACGACCAGTCAAGGACTTATAGCAGCCGTGGTGCGAGCCCCGACAAGAACTACATAGATGGTAGCGAGTTAGAACCCGAGAGGCATGCTACACCTAGTGCCAGATCTCATAACAAATCACAAGAGTTCACCGAGTATGACCTGGATGAGCATGGCCGAAAGGTGCCTCGAACAAGGTCACCCACGGCGTCAGAAGTCGCTATTGCGACTGGCGCCGTTGCTGCTCTCAAGGCGGCGCAGGGTAAGAAGCAAGCAGCCACCGAGGAGCCACAGGAATACCAAGGCGCTGGCGTCTTCCGTAACAAGTCCTTCAAGGAGCGTACTTTGGAAGGCCATGAGCCTCGTAACACTCCTGCTCACAGCATCGACCGCCTTTCTTATGATGACTCACCCAAGATGACTGCAAGTGGTCTCCCCGACTTTCATAATCCCATGCCTGAATTTGGCTACATTGATGACGATGTTCACACCAACCCTTCAGTTGTCCAAGAGCGTCTTGATGGCGAATACCGCGACGATGCTTCTGAAGGCCGAGCAACACCCACTCCCCGAAATGTTGCCGAGCAACGCGCCGAGAGCGCTGCCAGTAGTCGCGGACCTGGTGCTGCTCAGGTTGCCGGCGCTGCTGCGTTGGGCGCTGCCGCTGGAATGGCTGCTGCCAATGCTCACAGCCGTGAACCCAGCCAGGACCAAGATGAGTGGCAGCGGACCTCTGACGACCGCAAGCGAGACACTCTTGTCACCAACCCATACGAGGACACCAGCCCTGTCGCCAACCCTGCCCTGAATGATAACCTTTTGGGAGCCCGAGGCTTTGGAGCTCATTACCACACCGGAAGCCCTGGCTTTGGCCCCAAGTATGACGAAGGGTATATGTCCAATGGTAATAACCGAACCCCCGATCTCCAGCCCAAGGGCAAGGCTCTTCAGCTGTCTCTGCCCGGATCTCCAAATGATGCCAGCCAGGACCCTTTCTACGCCCCCAAGGACGCTCGTCACCTCAGTGGCATGTCGCAAGGCATGGCGTCACCATTCTACGATGCAGCCACTGGGCAAGGAATTGACCGCATCGAGAACAAGGACATTGTCGCTCTGATGCAGCATCTTATGGTTCGAGATGCTCAGCGCAGTGCCCGCGATACGGAAATCGTTGCACTGCTGATGAACTCTGCCCTTGAGATGCGAACTTCTATGAACGAGCTTAGAAACCTCGTCCAGGACACTAGCGACGATGTCATTTTCGCAGGTGTTGAGAACACCGAGAAGCTTCAGAAGGCAATCAATGGCCCTCGCCCCTACCCTGGGGCCCGATCGGTTCAGAGCATCTCCCAGGTCGACACTTTCAATGAAGCCGCTGCTAAGAAGAACCTATTCAAGCGTGCTTTCCAAGGCCTCAGCAACAAGGGGACGAGTGACTTCAAGCGTATTGAAGAAATTCTGATGCAGATTCTCGGTGAGGTTGACGAGCTCAAGGGACAGAGCACCGTCCCCCCTGTTTCGACCAGTGGTGGACGTGGCCCTTCATTCGACAACCTGCAGCCTGAGGGTCACTTCGAGCAAGATCGAGGCTATGAGCCTGAAGGCAACTCGACAATCACCCCCAGCCAGTCTGGTCACTTCTCGCTCTCCCACTCCCGATCTCGACTTGCCAACGAAAGAAAGTTTTCTGATAACCGCATCAGCACTGTTGCTGAGCACGAGGATGAATATGAGCACGCCCACCCTAGCCCGACTGGCGAGCGCAGCGACCCCAACATGCTGACACCAGAGCGATCAGGCTTCCAGCGCGGAAGTTCAGTTCCTCTTGATACACCCCCTCAACCGTCTGGTATTACTCAACCAATGAGCAATGAGAACACTCCTCGCACAACGGAGAAGCAGAAAAAGCACAAGTCCGGTCTTTCGGGCTGGTTCCCCAAGATTTCCAGGTGGTCTGGAACGACAGCCTCCAGCACTGGCAAAGGCAAGAAGGAAGCCAAGTATGATGATTACCCTCCGTCGCGCTCAGGCTCTAGCCTAGGCGAGTACAACGATGGGGATTACAGTCATGCCCCTTACGCAGAGGACCAGCTACATACCGGATTTTCTCAGCAAGAGCTCGCGTCGGCGCCCAATGCCGGTGACGCCGTGCCAGCGCCTCTCCGCCGCGAAATCAACCACACTCCAGGCAATGCACCCAAGTATCAGGTTCACCGAAACTCACTGAACCTACAACACCCTCAACCTAGACAGGGCCAGACAGAGCGCTTCCGCAATGCTCTGGAGTTCTCTGCTCAAGAATATAACGTCCCCATGACACCTAGGTCGGCAGATTGGGGTGGTTCGGTTTCGAGCTTGAACCAGATGGCTCAAAACACCAACCGATACAGCCAAGCATCATCGACAGGTGCTCCTCAAGACCCTGCCTACTGGACCACATCTCCAACCGGCCCCCCTCGACCTCCCAAGGAGCCTATCGAGCCCACTGGTAGCCCCTCAGCTCTATCTCCCCCTAGGGGTAGCCGCATCTCCAAGTTGGCCAAGGGTAGCCCTGCCCCTCACCCTAGTGACGAAAGCGGATATGCTACTATGAGCGGTACTCACGTGAGCCACCTCACAAGCAGTCCCAAGCCTGAGAACCGTAACCTCAATGCTGCTCTGGGTGTTCCTACTCGTCGACCTAGTGGGCCGCGAGCCATGACCCCTAAGAGCCCTGAGGATGAAGCTCGTCGACGTAAGCGAGGTAAGTTACATCTGATCCGTATCTAATATCCATGTCTCTAACCTTCAAAGTAGATACTTTCGGTAGTGTTGCATCTCATAACACGGATGACACGGAGACCTTTTAGAAAGGGGATAACCGTGGCAACCGTCCACTACCGGGATGCTGATCGATATCTTATAAGATAATGATACAGCACGTTGCTTTATTTGACACCAAACTTGACTCTCCCTCTGGAGGCTCTGGTTGGTGGTCAGTTGTATGAAATTTTTATGGACATGAAACGGCCTTCAAGTGGACGACTTTGCTATTTAGCGCGAAAAAGAAAGGCAGCTTTAGATTGAAGGGGGGGGTGGCCAGCTGAAACAGCAGCAAGTTGAAGGGCTTAATAAACAAACAACCGAACAACCAAGCAAACGGTGGAAAATAGGGGATGGAAAGGTGTTGACAAATACCGAAAAAGAAAACAAAAAGGAGAAGAGGATGCAGGAAAGGGACATATTTGCATACAGGGGCTTTTGCTTCAATTCTTGACGACGACATGACATGGCTTTCTTACTGCAGAGCGATACGTCAATGGCTTGATTTGCGATCAATGATTTAACTCGGATTGGATATTATGAGCGGAGAGAGGATGGATGCTATGACAGGATATCACAAGCACAAACACAAGCACAAGCACAGGAACAGGTGGATGAGCATGATGTGCGTGAACATATTTTCAAGTTAGGTAGTTGGGGTTCCTGTTGTATTAGGCTTTGTGAGTGTGAGATAGATACCATACCGCCGATATTGGTTGTAATTGGGAATGAAAGGAATTCAATCGATATGAATTCAGAGAGGGATACCACTACAATGTATTATGTGCCTTTGCAAGTGAATTAATGGCCTCTCCAATCAACGTTTGTAGAATGATACCTACTATGGTATTAGGTATAAGTAGGGGCTATTTCTAGAGGCTTCGGTAGTCTGTGCGCTGTAACCTTACTGTGCAAGCCCCTATAAATTAGTAGGCCTACAGCGCCTTTAAAGGTATCTTAACCTAACCCTTAATTTTTATAGCTTATACCTTAGCTAATTAAAATATTAGATTTTATACTAAGCCTTTTTAACTTATTATATAATAAATTTAATTACCTTTATATAAGTTACCTTTATACTTATATAGTATTATCCCTAGTTTAAACTACTGCTTTTTTACTAATATTACTTTATTTATTCTTAGATATAAGGTTAGTTAGTTATATACTTTAGTATATACATTTAATTAATAAAGTTATTATTAACTTTAGGTTAATTTAACTTTTGCTAACTAACTTATATAAAAGTTAACCTAATTCCTTTAAACCTTTACAGAACCTTGCCATTACCCTGCGTTTATCTAACTCTATTTATAGACACGCTTTACATTAATATCAGGACCCCCTTTACAGTAAATGCCCTTTTAGTTACATTATAAAGCTACTCTTTATATGCATTTAAGTTACCTCTAAAGGCTATAAGGAAGGCTACCTAGTCTAATTAAAGGAAATAA